CCAGCCCCAGCAGTGCCTGCAGACTGTGAACTTCCTGAGGATGGAACTATGGCTAAAGAGGCTCTAGGATCTCTAGATTTCACACACGTCTAAGAAGCACAATATAGGAAAATGAATGTACTACACCTGTGTCAAAGAAAAATGGCAGAACGGACAAGAACAGTGGTCAGTCACTTTCAGGTGCAATTGGTGACTGGACAGCTAGAAGGAAATGTTGGAGAGATAAATGTGGCATGGCAACAAAGGAGAAAAAAGGCACATTGGAAGTTGTCAGAAGATAAATTAAGCTAGCCAAGCAAATAAACATCTCTCTGGGTTACAGAACTAAAAAACACAAACAACAAGGGACAGCGTCAATGACACAGATATAAAATACATCAATGCAGAACTGACAGCAGAGGAAGGTTTCTGGAGGTCTGACCAAAAAGCTGGAAAGTGCCCAGTCATGCACGCACTGAAGGACAGGATAATCAGTGGCACCGGAGACAGCGAAGATAAACAAGGACAAACAAAATAAAGGCAGGAAGAGAGCGAGGAACCACAAAGAGCAGGTAATCAGTGATCCTAGGAGAAGAGACTGCAGAACATCCAATGAACATCGTTAAACGGGCTGAGGGCTGGCGGCCTCTGGGAAGGGAACTGCTGATGGAAGAACAGTGCACATGGACCACAGCAGAAATAATCTATTCCTAAAATAATACGAAATAAATCAGCAAAAAAATGTAACATATTTTGCAGGCTTGGCCTCATCTTATAGAGGAGGCATAATCCTTTCATTTATTTAGAACGGTTCATTGGCTGTAAGGATCAGAGAAACACTGACTTTTGTTGTATCATAGGTCACAAATACAGGCAAGGTTGCATTCAAATTTTCCCTTAGTAAATGTTTCCCTCCCACATTTAAGACAATGCTATCGAATGTAAACATGCCGTTAAACCACTGATTTGAATTTGGAAATTTACATTCTGAGAGATGGAAAATAGCCAAATGGTAATATTAAATATTACATACCTAAATGTGAAAATGATCCAAAGCTGCAAGTGACCATCACTACTATTCCGCTCCCAGAACTTCCCTCTTAGTAGGACAAACTTTCTCTGACCTCATTCTGTCTGCAGAATGTTCCCAACTACAGAAAGCTCTTTGCAAAATACAGATACAGAAATCCCGGGATCGGCAGAGTTTGCTGCCCCTCTGGATGCTTTCCCATTGAAAGCAGAGGATGAGGAGGGTGGAAAAGATAAAGGCTCCCTGAGATGCGCGCTGGGTGAGAGCAGTATTTGAGGAGGGCTGCTTTGGTTTGTTTGCTTTTCAATTTTTAGTTCATAAAAAAGCAAGCTCAGGCATTAAAATCTTGCTCTTTCAGCTCAGCCTTCTTCCCAACAAAGCAGCTGTCACACTGAGGTTGTTTCCATGAAATAACAAAAGGACATTTCTATTTCCATTCTGCCATGGTGACATCTGCCACAAGTGGATTAAAACTCTAATGAGGCAGTTTTTCACTAATAATTTAGTACAAATCACAATTATGTCTAAACTCTTATGAAGAATATTAGTAGGAAGCACAGGAAAAAGGTTTTTAAAACTATATGCGTACATTTATCAGCATAGACTTCCACTGAGCACATTAAAATTCAGCTAAGAATGGCACTCAGCTTGCACCAAGCAGTCTCAGTGCCCCGATGTGTTCACTTCACGCTGCCAAGATGTGACAGTGTCTGCAGCTGGAGAAATGAGACCCTGAATTCAGTCGGTGATGTAGTCTCACATCAGGGATTAAGCTAAGCAACAGGAACTGTAATAAGTCCTAGGGAAAACATTCACAGAATCACGAAGGTTGGAAAAGACCTCCAAGATCATCAAGTCCAACCGCCAACTCATCACCACCATGCCCACATTGGAATCAGACATATGTGAACTACAGAACAGAAATAGAAGAAATTTCCAAAGGGAAAAAAAAAACAACCATTTATCCTGCCTTCGCTCACTCTGTTACTAACTGTAAACACCTGTACACATTCCAGGTTTAAAGAAAAGGAGAATGCAACACAGAGATGCGCTCTACGCCTCTGACTAACCAGATGATAAACGAATGGATGCTCCAATGTACTCTATGGTTCACCCAGCGCATTGGAACTCCCAGATACTCAGAAATATGATACCATATATGGATGGGCATATGCTGAGATGAGCACGGAGTCCTTTTCAAGCTGAGGCAAGAGCCAAGTGTTTCAGCTGTGATGCTAAGGCCCCCAGATCTGCAGCCATCTAGTTTAACTGGCTGCATGCCGAGGTTATGCAGAAGCCTTGCAGAGATGAAAATAGTTTGGATACAATTCAGATACAATCTGAATTGGCTTCCACTGATCATTCCTCATAGATCCTCATCTGAACAACCACAGAACCTCTGGTGAAGACCATTTTTCCTCATTATGATGTGATGATAACCAACCCAACCCTGATTAGACTGAGACAGGTGTACACAGCCACCACAATTTTGCAAAGAATAAAGGCACAGCAGAGGATGAATGTCAGTACCTGATGTGAGATGGGTTTTGGTTCCACTGCAAGTCTCAGGTAGATCCCCAGGGGTTGTGGAGTGGTTATGGAGCAGTGTTGCTGAGGGCCTGAAAAGGTGAAATGATGGAGGCAAATTTTGCTACCATCTTTCCCCCCAGGTTTAGGAAAAGATAAATGCCCACACTCATTCTTTGGAATAATTAAGTACAGGGGGAAAAAGCCTCTTCCCATGAACTCCTGCAGAACCTGCTAGATGAAGTAATTCTGTAAGTGAGAATCCTTGAAGAAGGGTGAGATGGGAATTTGGTAGAAAGGAAAGTATTAAAATAGCTATGGCAATCACAGAAGATGGCAGCTACCGAGTATTTGCTGCCTGTGAGCTCTCACAATGCCTGACAGAAGATGATGCTTGAAAGTAAGATGATTTATGGTTTTCTCACAATTGCCTCTGGACTGGCATAATGCCCTTCTGTGCTTCAGCAAATGTCTTGCCTCTCAGAAAGAGCAAGCTGTGGGCAAAGGATGACAATAACCATCATTCCATGGAATCTGGGAGTTTCTTTGGCGTTTATTCCAATTTCTTTCCTTAGCTTTTCCTGGGCATGGGATATGTAAAGGATATGTGCTATAGGGGTTGTCATCTTGGAAGGTCTCAGTGCAACCCTTGAATCACAAAGGGATTTTTATCCATTCTCCAAAGCTCCAAACCTTTAAATGGGAAGTCAGCTACAGTTACCTGTGTGTTTTTCAAAATATCAACTGTGTTCAATCAACCAGTCTGTTGTAATAACAGCAACAGCTGTGCCAAGGACCTGTCCCAATAGCTATTACCTACTGGCCATGTTTTTGTTAACATCCACCTTGGTGCCTCACTCACTCTGCTACATATATTCAAGGCCCAAGTCAGCAAATAACCAATCCTCATGAGGAACTCTTTAAGCAAGTTCTGGTAGTTGGCGATTGCAGGGTGTGTGGAGGCAGATGACATGCTGTCTATGTTCAAACCATTCTGATTCTCAAAGTTTTTATTTTTGAATTATCTTTGGTCTACCTGACCTTGGACAGCAGGCAGCAACAGAGACCTTGCTCCTTTATAAAAAGAAAAATGTCCAAAGCTAAAGTGTGTCAGAGCTGATGATTCTATCATGTCAGAGCCACAGAACCATGAAGGTTGGAAAAGGCCTCCAAGATCTAACTGCCTGCCCATCCCCATCATGCTCACTGAACCATGTCCCCAACTGCCACATCTCCACAGTTCTTGAACATCTCCAGGGTTGCACAGGAACAAATGGTTGATGAGACTGCAGGCTTCTATGAGAAGAAATGGCATCTGCTGTGCCCACAGACCAGCACAGAAAACAGCCATGTACTGGGAAGACATGAAGCCCAAACAGAGACTAAACACAAACACTGAAGGTCTTGACCAGGAGGTTGCTTGCAACCCAATAAATGAGAAAGTGTCATGGGTCGTATTGAAAGACAGCCTACATTAATATTCAGACTCAGCCTCTTCACTTCTAGTTCAGCAAATAGCAAATTTCAAGTCACAGAATGTACCACATACTGTATAGAGTTTGTAGTCACCCAAAGGAGGGACTTGAGACAGTTTTGGAATTTTAACACAGCCACTTCAAAACTGCACATACAATTCACTTCATTTGTCTTGGAAACTGGAAGGAAATTATGTGGATCTGTGCTTAAGCCTTCTTGGGAGACTGCTGCTGAAAGTGAGAGGTTTGGCTTGCCTCTTCAGTGCCATTTTGTCACTGAAATGTGAGAATATTTTTTTCCAGTTTTGTTTCTCATTCCCTGAAGGGAACATTTATTCATTTACAGCTTTGGGCCAGTGAAGTCTTCAGCAGAACACCTTGCTATTTTCCCCTGCGTAACTTGACAAGAAAGAAAAGTGCAAATCCATGATTCAACGTTTTTGCATGTTTACATGTGAGCATTCATGCAATAATTTACATACATAAAAATAAGTGTAACCCAACTTTAGCTCTACCTAAGTGTTTTCAGTAGATATGGACAACTCAAAAGAACTTGGGTTGGCGCAGAGAAGATGCGTTAACAAAGGTAATAAAGTAAACTTACTATGTGAAATGTCTCAAGCAGAATTACTCTGCTTTGTGAGCAGTGCAGCCTATGATACAAGACCAGTCCTCCTCAGAACAGCTTTGAAAGTAATGCTCTACTTAATAACAACAACAAAAATTTCTTTAGCGATGTTTGGATATTTCTTTAGTCACACTCATAAAATGGCTATTCTATTTCAATAGAAGAAAATCACTCCTTAGAGGAAAAAAAAAACAAAAAGCAGCGTTGCAAACAATTCCTCCTTTAATGGATGCTGTATACACACTTTGAAGTAGAAGTGTTATTCAAAACACATTAGAAGAGCTGTAGTGATACAAAACCCATGCTCTGTGTTTTTCACCTCTCTGAGAAGCAAACAATAAATGCTGCAGGGTACGCCTACCTCTTTGTTGGTGTCGGTGCTCCAGAGGACATGTGGGTCACCATGGCGTCATTCATGTTAGTCAGAGGTCGAGGGGGACTGAAATAGAAAGAGGAATTTGTTCCAGTTAGTGATTAAAAGAAATAAATTAGAAAACAAAACCAACAGCGGGAAAAAGGGCACCAGTGTTTTCAGTGACACTGTTTGGGCAAAGAGGAGCAGGATTTGCTTTGCACAAAGGTACTTAAAGAGCTTGGTTTGCTCTTCTCTAATTAGTTTTTTGTGATTTCTGCACTGCTTGAAAATGAAGGTGAAACATTTGTGATTACATAACTGATCTCTGGCACTGTCCAATTCTTCAAAGAGATGTAGGACGACATTCAAGTTAGGGGAAATATCCAAAATGTCTACACTGACTTGTTGCAATAAACCTGCATTCTAACAATGACTGCGTACACCTCCTGGTTGGGTTTTATATCTAGTGAGTTAAATCTAAGTTAGATGCAGAAATCATGGAATCATTCAGGTTGGAAAAGACCTCTGAGATCCCCAAGTCCAACCCCAGTCCATCCCACCATGCCCACTGCCCACATCCCCACGGTTCTGGAACACCTCCAGGGTTGGTGACTCCACCACATCCTTGGGCAGCTGTGCCAATGGATCACTGCTCTTTATGAGAACAAGTCTTCCCTAACATCCCTGGAACAACATAGAGCAATTACCACTTGTCCTAAATCCAACTATTGTTTAACTATCAACTAGTAATGCCTGGACTCAGGTCGCTCTTTTAATAGGGATGGAATTAATAGGGATTACTGCATGACAGCTGTGACTTTTTTTTTGCTGTTTCCTTCCGATTGCGTTTATGTACTTACACATATACAAACTGAACAGAAATGGAGTCTTGAATACCTTTGCTAACCTTATAGCTGAGTTTTGTTCTATAACCTGGACAGTCCTACACTATTAAGACTTGTAGGGGTACTGTGAGCCCTTCTGGTACTGCTTAGGGCCCCCCTTTGTAGCCCAGGCTGAACTTCTTTGTGGAGAGAGAATTACAACGAAAATACAGCCAACCCAGCCAGGCAGGCACAAACCACAGGTACATATTAGATGCACAAAAATGTAAAAACACACTGATATTAACTCACTTTACACTACAGAGAGTGGTTGACCTCTACCTATTATTATTCCATTTTACAGGCATGCTGACAGAAATTTAAAGGGACTTAAAAATAAACAGTTTTGTGGCTACCTACCTCCATATATTTATGTAGGCAAAGGTTAACATAAAGCATTTCTAGGAGCACAGCCAGCAGACGCTGTGGTCAAGTTCGTGATCCAAGAGAAATTTGCATGAGGTTAAACAGAGAGCTTGTAACAAAGGAGTAGTACCCGAATCCATATGGAAAGCCAGTTCAGCTTACTAATTAAAACAAAACACCACCGTACGTAATAAATAAGAATTGAATATCCTGAGTTGGAAGGCACCCACAAGAACTGACTCCAATTCCTGATGGAACGCAGTTGTACATAACTGTAAAAATAAAACCATCCCAGCTGGCATGTGAGTCCTTCCACTTCCCTCTATAAGGTGTCAGTTGGAAAAAGCAGTAAAACAAGACAGATTCCTTTTCCTGGGAACTTTATTATTTCTCATACAGCAGGCTAGGAAAGGATAACTCATCATAACTCACTGGAACAAACAAGCATTAACTGTTTTCTTAATTCTTCCTATACTACTTCACACTTTTTTTTTTTTTTTTCAGGTAAGAAAGACATTGACTATAAAATGCAATTTGATTTAATGACATTCCTACTTTCTATTGCACGATGTATCCACAGGAGCAAAGAAATAGCATTTCTTTGCTTAACAACCATCAAAAGTCCTCTGGGACATTTCCACGGATAGCGCTGTGCAAACTAATCTCTTTCTATTACAGTCTATCAGGAAGGATTCAAAGCAAAACCAGTGTGACTTGCTTTCCTCATATCTCATTTTTGGAAGAACTGTGTCACTACATTATGATAATAGCACAATAATGCACCCACTCAGCTTTGTTTCTCAAGGAAGACCAAAGAGAATTTCTCCAAAGAACAGACATGGCTGAGGTTACTTACAGCAGGCACAACCTCACCTCCCCATAAACACAAATGCTGTGATGGTTGAAGTGACACGAGCAAGGTTGTGTCCCCAGTACAGATTTCTTCTTTCCCACTGCTGCAGCTTTTGCTTCACTTGCACGTGTTGGCCACCTGCACATCACATTCTAATTGTCCAGTTTACCATGCTAACAAGGCTACATTTCAACAGAACCATAGAACCATTCAGGTTGGAAAAGCCCTCTGAGATCCTCAAGTCCAACCTCAACCCACCCCACCATGCCCATTGCCTACGTCCCTCAGTGCCACATCCCCACGGTTCTGGAACACGTCCAGGTTTGGTGACCCCACCACCTCCCTGGGCAGCTGTGCCACTGCATCACTGCTCTTCCAGAGAAGAAATGTTTCCTAATATCCAACCTGCACCAACCCTTTCCCACCATGCCCTCTCATAGAACCATTGAGGTTGGAAACGACCTCTAAGATCACTGATAATTGATGATAATTCAAAAGCCAAAGGACATATTCTTCCAGACTAATGTATAAAGTAAGACTGTTGGCTGGTGTTTCTAGTGACTGAAAACTCAACCAAGCAGTAGGAAAGAAGACAGGAACAGAACCTGGCATTTGCCTGCAAATCTTCCATCTGTATGAAACTTCTGCTGCAAAACTGGTTGTATTCAGTGCATCAAGGACAGCAGGCTGCAGGAGAGCTGGATGCCTCCCCAGCAGGCACCATGCCAGGCACTGCAATGGGACAGGAGAGACAGCAAACAGATCACTCTGCTCGCTCCAGAAACCATCACCAGATCTCAGCAACTGAATGGAAGAGAGGGGGGAGGGGAGGAGAAAGGGGAACACAAAAGGAGCATCCTTCATCAGTGAGAGAGGATAAAGCAATTTTACTGTAGACACAACATTCTGCAAGGATTTCATGAGCAATGCAATCGATATCTTTCCCTGTCATACTGCAAATTCTCCAAAAACAAAAATGCCAGAAATGCAAAACATGGTCCCAAGCACATGGAAATGAACAGTGTATGCAGCACTGTGGTTTGATCTAGAGCTCATTCCTTTATCTTCATTGATTCTTTATATATATATATAACAGCTCTATGGCTTTTCATCACAAACCTGTTCGAGGAAGCAAGTTTGCTGATGATCCCAAATTGTGTGGAGTAGCAGATAGAACAGAGGACTGTGCTGCCATTCAAAGACCTCGACAGGCTATAGAGATGGGCAAAGAACATCATGAAGTCCAACGAGGGCAAGTGTTGTGTCCTGCATCTTGGGGAGGAATAACTTCACCCATCAGTATAGGTTAACCTGCTGGAAAGAAGCTCTACAGAGAAGGACCTGGGTGCTCTGCTTGACCAATGGTTGATCAGTGGCTGACCAATGGATGAACAAAAGTTGACCAAAGGTTGGCCATGAACCAGCAGTGTCTCCTTATGGCCAAGAAGGCCAATGGGACCCTGGGGTGCATTGCACAGAGTGTGGCCAGCGAGGTGTGGCCAGTTCTGTCCTGGGGAGGCCAATTCTGGAGCACTGCGACCAGTGCTGGTCCCTTCAATTCTATGATTCTGTATGAATCTGTGAAAGTGGTTCCAGACTCCTTCCTTGGCCATTGTCTTAGTAAACCCCTCTGTGCCTGAAGAATACAACAATTACCTGAGAAACTTCTGGAAATTAATTGTGCCAGGCCTATGCTTGCTTCACATTCAGTCAGCCAGGACATTAGTGGGTAGCATCACACATCTGAGCACCTGATAGGAGAAATTTTCTATCTAGCGTTCCCTTTACTGAGCAAATTTGTTCTTCTATTTAAGAGGACAATTCTTTTACTATTATTTGCTATATAAAGTTTTATCCTCTAATTACTCAGAAAGAAGGAAGAAATGAAAGAATGACTTCTTTTGAACCATGTATTATATGCAGCAAAGACCATAAAAAAGGGCTGTTATTTATTATTCAAATCCAAATAATGATCTCCTGCTGCCTTCTGACTCTGCCTACGTGCTTGGCTCAGTAGAATATGAGATCGATACGACCAACTCAATAGCAAGCACTGAAGGCAGACCAGTGAAGAAAAGGAAAACCTATTTAAAGATGAAATAGCTGGTAATAACAAGTGAAAACTTCACAACAGAAAGCAAGGAAGAAAAACAGGAACAACTAAAAGCTGGAAAACATGTTTTCCACAGAGATATCTCCAAACCTCCTACTTGAAGACAAATTTGTGATGATTTGATGGCAACCTATGCATAAATTTGATTTATCTGTAATAAAACCAAGCAGCAATACTCAAGCACAGATATATCAAAATCCAAGGGACAGACAGCAAAATGAACAAATCCTGCTTGGAAGTACCCTTGCAAATTTTAAGTAATGAGGGCAATAAAGCACACAAACCAATCTCATGACTGCGGCAAGTTCTTCCTGTTGGAAACATCAGTGCTTTTTACAAAATGCATGATTTCTTGTATTTTCTACTTTGCACAGGAAATAATTCAGAGAAATCTCCCAATCTCGGTTGTATTTGTGGTTCTGGTTAGAGGACTGTGATGACTCATTGGGAAGTCACAATCTCTGAATTAGCAAATAATTGCAGTAGCATCTGTGCGTTTGTTTTCAGCTCTTTTGCCCCAAAATGTGAGGGGTAAAAACTTCAGAGCAGGATAAGTTTTGGAAACTTTTGGTTGTATATTCATGTACATGATTTCTTACAATGCTTGGAGACAAATCTATCATCCATAAGAAAAAGTTTGAAAGAGCTGCTCTGAAAACCAGGATATCTAAAACAAGATCCCACAATGAGAAAATGTTAAAAAGAGTTGAACTGTTAAAGTTCTATTCCTATTCTGGAACTCCTTCAGATTAGATTTCTTCAATTTCAAGTGAAAAGGACAAAGTGAGGGCAATGGCTGCATCAAGCTAAAGGGAGGAAAAGACTGCATTAAAGAAGCGATCAAATGCAGCTGAAATTGCACTGGAGC